TAGTGCAAAAGTTTGTCTACATTCCTTTCTCCCTTTTTCGCATATCTGAACACTTGTTTTACTCACTACTTTGACTTTCTCTAACCCTCGTGTTCTAATACACTGATTTATATATTCATATCAATATTTATGATTACATGTCCCCTTTTTTTTTACTCTTCTTATTCCCAAACTTGTATTTTCTAATTTTTCTTTTGTTTCTTTCTTTTCTGATTGAACAATACATTTCCAAGTTTAGCTCCAACGCGAACGGAAGATATGGATGGAAGCAAACGTATGCGTGATATAAAAATTAAGGTATGTAGCACTTGCAAAGTTGTTCTATCCTGGTGTTGCAAACTTATGGAATGAGAGAGGGAAATTATGGTGCCTTGTCTCGTCTGTAAAAGAAATAAGACAAAAAAAAAAAAAAAAAAAAGTTTAATTATATGGCAGAAGAGAAAACTGGTTAAGAAAGCAAGAATAGCGAGAATTAGTAAATGAAATAACGGTTTGTAGACTCTGCATGAAGAATGTAAATATGTTAAAGGACGCATATACATATAATATGTTAATGGACACACACATACATATAATATATTAAAGGACACACACACACACATACACACACACACACACACACACATACACATACACACACACGCACACACAAATATATATATATATATATATATATATATATATATATATATATATATATTATATAGAGAGAGAGAGAGAGAGAGAGAGAGAGAGAGAGAGAGAGAGAGAGAGAGAGAGAGAGAGAGAGAGAGAGAAAACTTGACCGTTAGTAGAAAATAAAAAAAGAAAACATGGATAACAACATCTACCATAAACAGAATAGGAGCCAAAGGTGAGGAGCCTGAGAGGGAGATTCTGTATGTAAACAGAGACCGGTTCTCCCGCGAGCCAAGGAAGAGTACACACTGTAGATCCACGTTAGGAGGTCCCCAACGGTAATCACGAGACAGGCTTGTTTGCTGGCCCCAGGATAGTAACAGATAGTAACCGATTCATCATTGCCTTTGAGAAAGAGAAGTTTATCTACCGTTTTCCAAGAGAAGGAGACGTTAAATATCTACCTTTTTTCCAAGGAGGCGAGTCTCAAAAATTGAAATACCAGGGGGAGAGGGATTGGCCAGGGTCATAAAGTTGGTTATTTTTAGCTACCCTGTTCTATGAATGTACAGACTAAATAATGACGTTATGAATAGCCACCAATAACCGATATTGGTTGCGAGCAAACTGTCAAAGACCATACATTTTGTTTATAAGGGATAGGGGAATTTCCCTTTTCTGAGTGGATTTAATAATAGCAAATAGATTTTGAGTCTCCTCTGCAGTTATTACTTTGGTGATCGTTTCCAACAACAGCCTTGATTCAGCGACAATTACCATCAATTTAGCCGGGTCACCCTCTAGTAATCGTTGGTCATTTGTTGATGATCGATGGGTGCCAGAAGCCTTCACAAAATGTATATGCGTTTTAATTTTCCTAGTTTTGTGTGTGCCATAAGAATATGCAATGATGAATAATAAATGTATGTTATTGTGTGATATATAACATCAACTCATTCAAGAGAGAATAATTCATAGATGCCACTTACAGCTATTGTTACACACACACACACACACACACACACACACACACACACACACACACACACACACACACACACACACACACACACACACACACACACACAGAAAGAGAGAAGATGGGGGGGGGGAGAAGAGGAAGGGAGGGAGAGAGGAAAAGTATTCAAAAAGTGGTGTAGTTAAACCCAAAATACCGTTGCTCTCACCAACTATTAATAGGACTATTTACGCTGCTACGGACAAGGAATTTACCGGACAATATCGCTCCAAAATAAAATATTCGTCGAATGGAAAGGGTCTGTTCATCTGTTTTTAATTTCGAACGCGACGCCATACTTTTCTGGGCCTTTTTGTCGGCACTGAGCAAGTTTATGTCTTAAAAAATAATAAATTTTAGTTATATTATATCTGTGTGTGTGTGTGCAGTAGTATATATATATATATATATATGATAAATTATATATATATATATATACATATATAATAATATATATATATATAATATATATATATATATATATATATATACACATATATACAAGTGTGTGTTTGTGTACTAGCCGAAATTCCATTGGAAAGAAAAATATACTCTTCTTTCCCTCTTTCACCCTCATACCTATATCCTTTGCTTTCTATCCTTTTTCCTTTTCTCTCTACCTCTGCCATTCCCTTTCCTGCTTCGCCACCCTATCCCACTCCTTAACCATCCTTAAATTTACTCCCCCTCCTACTTTAGGCCTTACATCTGCTCCCTCCCACTTCCCTCTTCTTCCTCCTTGAACTCCTCCACCTCCTTCGCTCCCTTATCCCCTTCGCACCCTCTCCCATCTCCCTTTTTTCTCTCTCCCTTTCTCTTTACCCATTTCTTTTTCCTCGCTAAGTCCCCTCCGTTCTCCCACTG